CAAATCAAACATCATCAGATGAAAATCCCACAGTTTCTGCTCCCAAATCCATCTGACAGTCACACAACTCACCTGGTAATTTCTTAGGATCAAATCTGGATTAAAGTAGAGCTGAAATGGTGTGATGATCTCTAGTTGCTACGAGAAATGAACACGTATCATTAAAGATCAGCCAACACATCTGCACATTTTTCATTGTACATAACATTTACATGACAGTTTGGTCGCCCTGCAGAAGCTACGGAAGGCATACGTGTCAAACTGAAACCGGCCATCCTCCATCCTGCATTTTTCCCTTCTTATTAGACATTTTTACGTAATATCGGACACACACATAACGTATGTCAAACGCCGTTTGTTGGCTCACAGCTCAAATGCCTTTTTTTTGTTCCCAGTTAACCATAACTAGCTTGTCGTAGCACGGGAAACTAAGCTAACTGTCAGGAGGCAGTTTCGGACTGCCTCCTCCGAGGAGCTCCGCGACACCCCCGGAAACCGTCCACCGGCAGCCCGCGGCCGGCCTTACCACGGCAGCGGTGGTGAGGACGCAGGCGGTTGTGTAAGCCCTCGTAACAACAGGAATCTGTAAGTACTCCTGTTGTAGGGTCTGATAAGCCATTTTGGACAGACTGAGAACTTCCGGCACTTTCGAGACACGTCATCGCAGAAAGCGACGAGTGTTGCGTTTAAGGACATCGGAAATCACAACATCCTCACTGCTTTTCAAGCCATGCTTTCAACAAAAACAAAACTAATGCTACAAATCTGCCTACACTTAGGGTGACCATGTTCTGATTTCCAAAAATGAGGAACTCTGCCTCCAGACGGGTCCAGACAGGATCCTCAGATGTTCATGAACAGGCTTTATTAGACCTCAATGGGACTAAAAGAACTTTGGTAGTAGCACACAATCTGTGACAACCAGTAAAAAAAAGATACCCCTCCTTTAAAATACAGAAATAAAATAAAATCATGTTCTAAATATGACCTATTCTGTATTAGAAAATACAGCTTCAACTAAATACCTCTGAATCCCCTCTGAATGGAAGAAAGGAAACGATGCAAACTCAACTAACAAAAAGGATCTACAGACTAAGTAGATATCCTTTTTGGATCTATAGCCTACACTGAGTTTAGATCATTTTTGTATTCATATACTAAGTTTGTGTGTGTGTGTGTGTGTGTGTGTGTGTGTGTGTGTGTGTGGTGTGTGTGTGTGTGTTTGTGTGTGTGTGTGTGTGGTGTGTGTGTCCCTTGAGAATTATGACTATGACTATGGTGGAAATTACAGTAGGGTGCAAAAACAGTCTGTTAGATGAAATCATAAATCATAAAGGCCATTTCCAGTAATACCACTATTGGCATTGCTGGTTGGCCACAGATAATAACTGTGCACAGCTTATTGTTCCTTTTTCTAAAGTGGCAAAGCAGGAAAGACATGGGGAGAGGGGCAGTCCTTCCTGGAAGAGCAGCTGCAAGCTATGGTTTAGTTACAGATCCATGTTCAGTGGGTTTAAATATGTGGTAACTTTAAGTAGAGAATTTATGGCCATGATTGTGGAGACCAACTTGCAAGTTGTACAAAAATAAGCAGTGATACACAGTAAATAATAATCAGAAAACGCTTTATTTCTGAGTACACAGGAATT